ATTCTATTCTATTCTATTCTATTCTATTCTATTCTATTCTATTCTGTCTCTCTCTGTCACTCCTCTGCCATTGAATGTTAAGCCACGATAGCCTTAATTTTACCTCCCTGAATTTGTAACGCTATATTGACTTCTGAACAGAAATTCCTTGGCGCTTCGTAGCTGAAGGGACATTTGGACATATAATTCCAAGGTTTGGGGGTTTCTCTTCAAGCACCGCGTCGAAATAGGTTCCACGGTGTTTGCAAAAAAAAAAAAAAACTATAGAATGCAGAACTACAGAGTTGGAAGGGACCTTGGAGGTCTTCTAGTCCAGCCCCCTTGCTCATGTCATTCTGAATACATGGTCGTGCGATCTCTTCTTTAAAAAACTCCAGGGATGGAGCGTCCAGATAACTTCTGGAGGCACTGATGATGCAAACCCTCCCCCCCACCCCAAATCCAGACCCATTCTGCAAGGCCAAGACAAACCTTTGGGAGGGGTGAGATGAACTCCATTTTTAAGGCACCACTGCACTGGCAGGAGGCCCAAGGAATCGGCATGGCAGAGCCTTGACGTGCTGCATGGTTCAGGACGGAGATCGTCCAGAGTGACTTGCACGAAATGGTGGCTGAAAACCTACAGGGGAAGCAAGTGGAGGAGTTTATTTATTTGCTTATTTATTTGTAGCCCACTTGTATTATTTTTGCAAATAACTCAAGGCTGAAATTACATCCAACATATTTTCCTCCTCCTATTTTCCTCGCAACAACGACCTTATGAGGTTGGTTGGGCTGAGGGAGAAGGACCAGCCCAAAGTCACCCAGCTGCCTTTCGTGTCTAAGGCAGGATGAGAATTCAGAATCTCCTGTCAATTGGCACCAAAGTCATCCAGCCAGCTTTCATGCCTAAGGCGGGACCAGAACTCCCAGTCTCCTGGTGATTGGCTCAAAGCCACCCAGCTGCCTTTTGCGTCTAAGGCAGGACTAGAACTCGGAATCTCCTTTTGATTGGCCCAAAGTCATCTTGCCGGCTTTCGTGCCTAAGGTGGGACCAGAACTCACAGTCTCCTGGTGATTGGCTGAAAGTCATCCAGTTGGTTTATGTCTAAGGTGGGACTAGAATTCACCATCTCTTGCTAATTGGTCCAAAGTCACCCAGCTGGTTTATGGTTAAGGCAGGACATGAACTCACGGTCTCCCACTTTCTAATCTGGTGCCTTAACCA